CATATTTGGGCATTATGGAATATTCGTGGCAAGTTTGGTCCAGATCCATCATTGTTTGAGTCCACAGTGCTCTCTGGATGTAGGTGAACTACAACTCCCAAACTCAAGGTCAATGCCCACCAAACCCTTCTAGTGTTTTCTGTTGGTCATGGGAGTCCTGTTATGCCGCCAAGTTTGGTTCAATTCCATTGTTGTTGGGGTTCAGAATGCTCTTTGATTGTAGGTGAACTATAAATCCCAATAACTACAACTTCCAAATGTCAAGGTCTATTTTCCCCAAACTCCATCTGTGTTCATATTTGGGCATATGGAATATTCGTGGCAAGTTTGGTCCAGATCCATCATTGTTTGAGCCCAAAGTGCGCTCTGGATGTAGGTGAACTACAACTCCCAAACTCAAGGTCAATGCTCACCAAACCCTTCTAGTGTTTTTTGTTGGTCATGGGAGTCCTGTTATACCACGTTTGGTTCAATTCCATTGTTGGTGGGGTTCAGAATGCTCTTTGATTGTAGCAACTACAACTCCCAAATGACAAAACCAAAAAAATTTGAGTGAAGGACATACATTGGGTTGTTAGGTGTATGCTTTCCAAATTTGGTGTCAATTGGCCCACCTGTTTTTGAGTTCTGTGAATACCACAAACAAACATTACGTTTTTATTTATATAGATAATAGATGGCAAGTCTAAGGTCAGCTTAGGACTAAAATAATAATAACTGGATAAGGCTGTTACCTGCTACAGAATGGAGGTCCTGAAAAGGGAAAGATTTCCTACCTGGCCAAGCTCTTCGTTGAGGTCGGAGGTATTCACTAAGGCCCCTTCATCTCGGGATTCGTCATACATTTCTTTGTCCCACCCAATGAAAAAGGAGCCCAGGAACTTCTGCATCTCGACTGTCACGTACATGGAGACGGGGATGATGAAATTGAACAGCACCATGAAGGACAGGAAATCAGTGAACATCTTTAAGAGCTGAAAGGGAGAGAAAGATTTATGATGCTGGTGTTGGCAGAGCCAAATTTATTTATTTACTTATTTGCTTTACTTCTATACCGCTTTTCTCAGCTGAAATGGCGACTCAAAGCGGTTTACATAATACAAGTTATCACAACAATATCGAAAAAGGCAATTAAAACACATTATACAATACATACAAGGTCAAAAAACAATCATTATCATAATCATAGCGCCTCAGCAACAAATCAGAATCAGAATCCGTAATCATAATCCTTTGTACCAATTCCTATGTTCGGTTGTACCATCTTCCTGTATTCCATTGCACTATTTAGCCAAACGCTTGTTCGTAAAGCCAAGTCTTGACCTTACTACACTTGGAGGACCATCATCCTCGGACTACGGGGGATCGCCTAACTAACTCCTGATCTTTCAGAAAAGAGTAAAAACCAGCAGTGAAGGGGCCTGTCTGATGTCCACAGGTAGGGCATTCCACAGCCGAGGGGCCACCACCGAGAAGGCCCTGTCCCTCATGCCCGCCAGCCGCGCCTGCGATGCGGGCGGGACCGAGAGCAGGGCCTCCCCAGACGATCTTAATGTCCTAGTCGGTTCATAGGTGGAGATGCGTTCGGAGAGGTAAGTAGGGCCAGAACCGTTTAGGGCTTTATAGGCTAAAGCCAGCACCTTGAATTGTGCCCGGTAGCAGATTGGCAGCCAGTGGAGCTGGCGCAACAGAGGAGTGGTGTGCTCCTGTTAGTAGCCTGGCTGCTGAGCGTTGGACCATTTGAAGCTTCCGAGCAGTCTTCAAGGGCAACCCCACGTAGAGAGCGTTGCAGTAGTCTAAACGGGATGTAACCAGAGCGTGGACTACCGTGGCCAAGTCAGACTTCCCAAGGTACGGGCGCAGCTGGCGCACAAGCTTTAGCTGTGCAAATGCTCCCCTGGTCACTGCCGAAACCTGGGGTTCCAGGCTCAGCGATGAGTCCAGGGTCACACCCAAGCTGCGAACCTGCGTCTTCAGGGGAGTGCGACCCCATCCAACACAGGCTGTAACCCTATACCCTGTTCAGCCTTGCGACTGAACAGGAGTACCTCTGTCTTGTCTGGATTCAATTTCAATTTGTTTGCCCTCATCCAGACCGTCACAGCGGCCAAGCACCGGTTCAGGACCTGAACAGCCTCCTTAGTAGCAGGTGGGAAGAAGCAAAGCCCATTACCTTGAAAGTTTCTTTGTCCTTCTGGGTCTTCTGGTTGTACCAAGGCTCATCGTTATGAGGAACACTTTGCCAGGTGTACTTGAGCGCGGTGCATATTATCGCCTTGCCCACCAAGATGCACAAGTAGACGATCAAGAAAGCATTGATCGACCTGGGGAAAGAAAGCGTTCAAAAGCAGGAGCAAGAATGACAGCTGTTCCTTGTGTTGTGCGAGTCAGGACAAAATGTTGCACTGATCGGAGACACAAGAAGATAGGTTTAAAGGAGGAATGGGCAACCATGGGAAGCGAAGGAGACTTTGAAGGGCCATGTACCTAATCCTGCAACTCCCCTTGCAGATATGGTTGGCATTCAGGGAACATTGAAGCATTCTCACCATGTTTTGGAATCTTCCTGGCCCCCTAAAGTAAAGGTTTCCCCTTGATCATAGAATCATAGACTCATAGAATCAAAGAGTTGGAAGAGACCTCATGGGCCATCCAGTCCAACCCCCTGCCAAGAAGAAGGAATATTGCATTCAAATCACCCCTGACAGATGGCCATCCAGCCTCTGTTTAAAAGCTTCCAAAGAAGGAGCCTCCACCACACTCCGGGCAGAGAGTTCCACTGGTGAACGGCTCTCACAGTCAGGAAGTTCTTCCTCATGTTCAGATGGAATCTCCTCTCTTGTAGTTTGAAGCCATTGTTCCGCGTCCTAGTCTCCAGGGAAGCAGAAAACAAGCTTGCTCCCTCCTCCCTGTGGCTTCCTCTCACATATTTATACATGGCTATCATATCCCCTCTCAGCCTCCTCTTCTTCAGGCTAAACATGCCCAGCTCCTTAAGCCGCTCCTCATAGGGCTTGTTCTCCAGACCCTTTATCATTTTAGTCGCCCTCCTCTGGACACATTCCAGCTTGTCAATATCTCTCTTGAATTGTGGTGCCCAGAATTGGACACAATATTCCAGGTGTGGTCTAACCAAAGCGGAATAGAGCATGGGTAGCATGACTTCCCTGGATCTAGACACTATGCTCCTATTGATGCAGGCCAAAATCCCATTGGCTTTTTTTGCCGCCACATCACATTGTTGGCTCATGTTTAACTTGTTGTCCACGAGGACTCCAAGATCTTTTTCACACGTACTGCTCTCAAACCAGGCATCCCCCATTCTGTATCTTTGCATTTCGTTTTTCCTGCCAAAGTGGAGTATCTTGCATTTGTCCCTGTTGAACTTCATTTTGTTAGTTTTGGCCCATCTCTCTAATCTGTCAAGATCGTTTTGAATCCTGCTCCTGTCCTCTGGAGTATTGGCTCTCCCTCCCAATTTGGTGTCGTCTGCAAACTTGATGATCATGCCTTCTAGCCCTTCATCTAATTCATTAATAAAGATTTAGATGAAGGGTTAGAAGGCAGGATCATCAAGTTTGCAGGCGACATGTTGCGCAGTGGGTTAAACCACTGAGCTGTTGAACTTGCTGACCGAAAGGTTGGCAGTTCGAATCCGGGGAGTGGGGCGAGCTCCCACTGTTAGCCCCAGCTTCTGCCAACCTAGCAGTTCAAAAACATGCAAATGTGAGTCTATCAATAGGTACCGCTCTGGCGGGAATGTAACAGCGCTCCACACAATCATGCTGGCCACATGACCTTGGAGGCGTCTATGGACAACGCTGTCTCTTTGGCTTAGAAATGGAGATGAGCACCACACCCCAGAGTCGGACACAACTGGACTTAATGTCAGGGGACAACCTTTACCTTTACCTATGTTGTTTTTGTGTAGAGGACAGTTCAGGTTGTGATATGGAGCAACTTCTGTTCATTTATAACAATTTTATGACACAGGAGGTCAAATTTTTTGACCCACCTTTGTATCTACTTAATAATAATAATAATAATAATAATAATAACTTTATTTATACCCCGCCACCATCTCCCCAAGGGGCCTCGGTGCAGCTTACATGAGGCCATGCCCATCAATACAATATAACACAAAAACGCATCAGAAAATCAGAAAATAAAATAACCTAAAATATAAAACCAATGTAAATAAGCAACACAACAATGTAAAAATCGAAACATTAAGACACTAAAAATGATCACCGTGGGCAGGGCCAAATTCAAAGATTAAAAATTATAAAACACTGGGAGATAGGGCAATGTAAAGTATCAGGGAGGGGATCCGGTGGATGTGGTAGGATTTAATTGCACAAACAGAAAGTAAAGTGCTTCTGAGGGCATTTTATGCAGAGTTTGGTCAGGGATTTTCATACATTCAATCATTGAAGGCTCCTCCTGAAGATTGCCAGGGTGGGGGCTTGCCTAGTATCTCTGGGAAGCGAATTCCAGAGTCGAGGGGCCACCACAGAGAAGTCCCTCTCTCTCTCTCTCTCTCTTTCTCTCTCTCATCCCCACAAGTTGCGATGAGGGTGGGAGCGAGAGAAGGATGAAGAGGTCGCGTAGATTCGTAGACGGAAATGCGGTCGCGCAGGTAGGTGGGTCCCAAACCGTTCAGGGCTTTGTAGGTCAAAACCTGCACCTTGAATTGGGACCGGAAAATAAATGGCAGCAACCCTTTCTATGGACCTCCTCTCCATTCAGTGCTGGCAAGCATGAGCAATGGACAAGATTGATAGGAGCTGCCATTAACACCTGGAAAGCCCCTGCAATGGGCTCTCAGCCTCTTTCCTGTTTACACATTTCTATTTCCACAAGGCTGTTAGAAATGTATACAAGCAAAGGAGGTTAAAATGCTTTGCATACTGGCCTTGATCTTGTGAAACAACACACAGTCAAAGGGATTCAGCTGTTGTCTTAAAAAAACCCCCATAAAACTGATCAGAGTTGCTTACTTTTCAACTGCAGAGCGTTTCTGAGATTTGCCTTGGTAGTTCAATGCCATTTTAGTTTCCATTCCGGTATACACTGCGACCCCTACAAAAATAAAATTCCATAACTGACATGTAAAAGACATCCTCCACTAGACTGGAAACAGCGGCAGTCGAAGGCTTGCTTGGGGCAAGGACAAGCACTGAATCCACTCTGGGTTGCTGTGAGTTTTCTGGGCTGTCTGGCCAATTGCAACATTCACACCTGCCTCAAACAGACAAGATTTCTTTCTCCCATCCTGGACATTCCACAGAACTCAAGACCTCTTGAGGATGCCTGTCATAGATGTGGGTGACATGTCAGGAGAGAATGCTTCTGGAACATGGACATACAGCCCAAAAAACTCACAGCAACCTAGTGATTCTGGCCATGAAACCCTTCGAAAACACAATCCACTCTGGGTTTCAGTCCAAACGTTAAAGGAGATATTCAAGAACCACATCCCGTAAGTGGAAGAGGTGGCACTGGTGCGAAATTCACAATGACCCCAGGAGAACGTGTTTTCTTTTACTGGAAGATCAAAGACAGTTACTCACCGTAAATCTTCGGGGTGTTTTTTAATGTTGCTCCCTTTAGCAAGAGGTTCTCAGGACCTAGGGATCTAAAATGAAAGTCAGCTATTAGGCTCTTTGCTAGGCTGGTGCATAATTTCAAATTAGATCGGAACTTTGATTTAAAACCCTCCTAATCGATACATCCTCTGTTCATGTCCAGCATTTACTTTTTAAAGTTTTTAACTATTACATCTGGCCCAGCCATACGTTTTTAAATCTTTACATTTTAAATTTTTTGTGTGTTATTTTCCACTTGTAAGTTTATTTATTGTATTGTTTATTTTGTTTATTGCTTGTTGTTTTATTATTTCTTGTTGTTTTGACGTGTTTTGGGGCTTGGCCTCATGTAAGCCACTCTGAGTCCCTTGGGGAGATGGTGGCAGGGTATAAATAAAGTTTTATTATTTTACTAGCTGTCCCCTGCTACACGTTGCTGTGGCCCACATGGGGGTTCTGTGTGGGAGGTTTGTCCCAATTCTATCATTGTTGGGATTCAGAATGCTCTGTGATTGTAGGTGAACTATAAATTCCAGCAACTACAACTCCCAAATGTCAAGATTCTATTTTCCCCAAACTCTACCAGTGTTCACATTGGGGCATATTGAGTATTCGTGTCAAGTTTGGTCCAGATCCATCATTGTTTGAGTCGACAGTTATCTCTGGAAGTAGGTGAACTACAACTCCCAAACACAAGGTCAATGCCCACCAAACCCTTCCAGTATTTTCCGTTGGTCATGGGAGAACTGTGTGTCAAGTTTGGTCCAATTCCTTCGTTGGTGGGGTTCAGAATGCTCTTTGATTGAAGGTGAACTATAAATCCCAGAAACTATAACTCCCAAATACAATTTCCCCAAACTCCACCAGTGTTCACATTGGGGCATATTGAGTATTCGTGTCAAGTTTGGTCCAGATCCTTCATTGTTTGAGTCGACAGTTATCTCTGGATGTAGGTGAACTACAACTCCCAAACTCAAGGTCAATGCCCTCCAAACCCTTCCAGTATTTTCCGTTGGTCATGGGAGAACTGCGTGCCAAGTTTGGTTCAATTCCTTTGTTGGTGGGGTTCAAAATGCTCTTTGATTGCAGGTGAACTATAAATCCCAGAAACTACAAATCCCAAATGACAAAATCATTTTTTTTTAGTGAAGGACATACATTGGGTTGTTAGGTGTCTTGTGTCCAAATTTGGTGTCAATTCGTCCAGTGGGTTTTGTTAATCCCACAAACGAACATTATATTTTTATTTATATAAGATTATTATTATTATTATTATTATTATTATTATTATTATTATTATTATTATAACTCGTATCTGATTTGTTAAATTTGGGCATACGAAGGAGAGTTCCGAGGCATACAGTAAAGGTGGTGGTGGTGGTGGTGGTAGTAATTAGGATTTGAATCATTTCCCCATTTTTTCGGTAATGCTCTGAGTCATGTGGGAAAGGAGGTGCTGTGGGCATGGCTAATCACAGCCATCTTAACTATAGTTCGGGTCGGCTTATACCCAAGTATAAGCCGACCCGAATATAAAGCGAGGCACCTAATTTTACCACCAAGAACTGGGAAAACTTATTGACTCGAGTATAAGTCGAGGGTGGGAAATGCAGCAGCTACTGGTAATGCAAAATAAATATAGATACCAATAAAATTACATTAATTGAGAAAACAGGTTAAATGTTTTTCAATGTTTACATAAAACTGGAATTTGAAATAAGACTGACCAACTTTGATTAAACCATTATTCTAACCTTTTTCAGTGTCAATGTGCTTACGTATCCTTCCTCCCTCCCTCCCTCCTTCCCTCCCTTTTCTCTTCCAATCTTCCCTTCCTTCTTCCTTCCTTCCCTTTTTTTCTTTCCTTCTTTCCTTCATAACGCCTAATATGCTGGCAAGAGTCATGACAAACGCCAGAAATCGGTTTACTCAATGTGTGGAGAATGTAGAATGGGGGACATCACCTACCTAATTTGATCTTCAAAATTATGTAAAACAAAACTTTAGGTATGCGCCTAAATTATATAAATTATATTAAAAAATCTGATTCATACAATGGGTTTTATTAAGTTTTGAAAAAGGGAAGTTATGCTGCCTCACACTGTACTTCATGCAGCCAAAAAGACAGTTGCATCTTTCAAATAGGAAATTTAGGTACCACGTAAGCGGGGAGGCTAATTTAACTAATTTATAACTCCATAAAAATCTCCAGCAAGCATGCAAAGAATGAGGAAGTACTTCAACGGTGTCACAAATGGACGATGAAGCGACAGCTCCCCTGGTGGCCAGAATACCCTCATGAAAAAGCTGGAATGTGAAATAGCCTCTGAGTGTCTGTCTATATATGTTGTGTGTCTATGGCATTGGATGTTTGCCATGTGTATGTACATCAGTGTTTCTCAACCTGGGGGTCGGGACCCCTGGGGGGGTCGCGAGAGGGTGTCCGAGGGGTCGCCAAAGACCATCCGAAAACACAGTATTTTCTCTTGGTCATCTGGGTTCTGTGTGGAAAGTTAGGTCCAATTCTATCATTGGTGGGGTTCAGAATGCTCTTTGATTGTAGGTGAACTATAAACCCCAACAACTACAACTCCCAAGTGTCAAGGTCTATTTTCTCCAGACTCCACCAGTGCTCACATTTGGACATACTGAGTATTTATCCAAGTTTGGTCCAGATCCATCATTGCATGAATCCACAACACTCCTCTGGATATAGGTGAACTACAACTCCCAAAATCAAGGTCAATGCCCACCAAACCCTTCCAGTGTTCTCTGTTGGTCATGGGAGTTCTGTGTGCCAAGTTTGGTTTAAATCCATCGCTGGTGGAGTTCAGAATGCTCTTTGATTATAGGTGAACTATAAATCCCAGCAACTATGACTCCCAAATTACAAAATCAATCCCCCCAACCCCATTAGCATTCACATTTGGGCATATTGGGTATTTGTGCTCAATTTAGTCCAGTGAATGAAAATACATACTGTATATCGGATATTTACATTACGATTTATAAAAGTATTAAAATGGCAGGTATCAAGTAGCAATGAAAATAATATTATGGTTGGGGGTCACCACAACATATGGAATTGCATTAAGGGGTCATGGCATTAGGAAGGTTGAGAACCACTGATGTACATTGTAATCCACCCTGAGTCCCTTGCAGGGTGAGAAGGGTGGAATATAAATAAATAAATTAGAGTTCCGAAACTTTTACCCCCAAAATTTGGAAAGAACTTTAGAAACGAAGTGCTAGCTGCTTTTGAACGCAGTTTAGCACCATTTTTTGTATGGATTGCATATGCCTACTCTTTTAAAAAAAAGAAGCATTCAGAAAAATGCCGTCACACTGTAGCCCGCAATAGAAGGACTCAGAGGTGCAGTATATTGAAATTAGATAAGGCTTATGAAGCCAGCATTCCTAATCAATGTTATATGGAACATGCAAAATTACAGCAGGGGTGACATAGGCGAGGAAAGGGGAAAAATACAGAGGGGCCAGAAGAGAATTGATGTCAACAATGTGCTTCAGGCGACAAGAAGCCAAACCAGCAAATTAGAAAACATAGATCGATGCGGCAGAACAATAACACAATAATAAACAAAATTGATGCCAAACCTGGCTATGGGTTCTTGGTTCTCCTTGTAGATGTTAATTCTGCCCACAAACCTGGAACAGGAGAAAGAAAATATGGGGAGAATGTTACATGATATGATAACCGCTGCAAGGATTGAATATTAGAGGTGGAATCATAGAATCAAAGAGTTGGAAGAGACCTCATGGGCCATCCAGTCCAACCCCATTCTGCCAAGAAGCAGGAATATTGCATTCAAATCACCCCTGACAGATGGCCATCCAGCCTCTGTTTAAAAGCTTCCAAAGAAGGAGCCTCCACCACACTCCGGGGCAGAGAGTTCCACTGCTGAACGGCTCTCACAGTCAGGAAGTTCTTCCTCATGTTCAGATGGAATCTCCTCTCCTGTAGTTTGAAGCCATTGTTCCGCATACTAGTCTCCAAGGAAGCAGAAAACAAGCTGGTGGGAGAATCAATAGCATGCCAGAGGGAGGCAAACCATGACAGAAATGGGACAGGCTCCAAATTAGCCCACGGTTAACTGATCCGGAGCCAATTTCAGCAGAACAGTGCTGTCGAATCCTCAGAAAGAGGAAAACCTCTCTCAATATTGTAGGTTCTCCTTTCACCTATACCAATCTCACAAGCCCGTCTTGTGGAACAAGGGAGAGAGCCTTCTCCTCTGTGGCCCCCCGACTTTGGAACTCTTTACCTGGAGAGATCAGGAAAGCCCTTTCACTAGAAATGTTTAAAAAGAACCTTAAAACCTGGCTCTTCCGCTGCGCCTTTGGTCATTAGGTATACACCACGACATTTTGCATCCCGCCCCCCAACGTTTTTGCTACTCGAACTCGTGCTCCCAAATGGGATGTTTAGTGTCATATGTTCCATAGTTGATGGTGGTTGGTGGTGGTAGACCTGGCAGTTGGTGATGGAAGGGTTAATGTAAGTCTTGTTTCTAAAGGGTTGAGTAGTTTGTAAGTAACAGTTTACAGGTAAAAGCAATTAAGAGTGGAGGTGTGCAGGAGATGAGTTGCAGCTGGGTGTTACTGGATTTAAGGAGCTAACTTTGAGACTGATCTTTGGGAGAAAAGTCTCTGTTGTATTTTGGTGGTGGGCGCTGCTGGTTTTCCCTCCCAGATCTGTTGGATTTTCGGTGTCCTGACCTGTCTCATGTAATCTTGGAATCCTGGAACCTTGAACCTTTGGACTGGCTTTTGACTATGGCATAGACTCTGGATCCCTGGACTTTGTTTATTGAATTCTTGGCATTTGACCACTGGACTGGACCCTTTTGACTACGAAGTTATTTTTGCTATCAGTTTTTGTTTATTCTGTAGCTCAGTGCTATATTTGTGTTTTATATTTTGGACTATAAAAACAGCCAGCAAGTATTAAACTGTTTGATAAAACTGGGAGTTTGATTAATCTCTACCTAAATAAGGAAGAGCCCTGACAACGTGACATTTATCCTCACAACTTTATGTATTTTATGAATCCCCGTAATTGTCCTGCTCGTATTTTATCTCATTTCAGTCTTTGAATTGTTTTTATCCTGTATATGCGGCCCGCCCCTTGTTATTGTTATCGTGATTGTGTTTATTAGAATGTTATTTTATGACTGCGTTTTTTAAATGTAATTTTGATGATATAATAATAATGTGCTGGTATGGCTGTACCAGGAGCTCCTAATTTATTTGCTTTGTATTAAATGTTTGTTTGCAGTTCAAGGTTCCTGGGATTCTGCAGATAGGTGGCTTCCTTTGGTTGCAGTCATAGGGCAAGTCACCTGTCCATCATCATTAAGTTTTGGTCCCACCCCTTGCTCAGGGCAATTGGGAAGGAAAGGGAGCCATTTTTTAGTTAGTCTCTGCAAGGAAAGCCAATGTAGAGGATGTGTGCAAGCTTCCCCTGTACAAAAGCTTCAACCCCTAAGAATTTCCGGGGAGAACAGTCTTAAGAGTCTCCAAAAATTTCCAGGAAAACAGCCCTAAAGACCAAAGAACTTCAGCTGGAGAACATCTAAACCTTTACTGGTAGGTCCACTCAGCGTTCGAGAAGCAGTTTGACCCGGTAGCAGAGCCCACATCAGTAAGGGTTAGATTACAGTCAGCATGGGAGAAGTTAAAAAGGGGACTTTCCTTTAAAGTAAAGAAGAAGTTATTGAAGACAGTTGCCTGTCCTTCGTGGGCAAGTTTAGGAAGCTACCAGTTGCATAAAAGCCTGGAATCATTTGTTTAACTTTCTGAAGACAAGAGAAGTTTCTGTTTGATTGTTCATTAATAAAAGACTTTGTTATACTTCACAAGCCATCTAAAGACTATTTGTGGTGGAAAACCTCTGAGAACTTCTCTTCGGGGGCCCCTGGCTTCCCGCTGGGCAAAGGTTGCACGTCCTGTTCTAAAGGAAATTCTTTACAGGCCCAGCATGCGACAGAACAAATAATAATAATAATAAACTTTATTTGTACCCCGCTACCATCTCCCCAAAGGACTCGGTGAGGCTTACATAAGGCCAAGCCCAAAGTACATCAAACAAAACATCAATAAAACAACATCAATAAACAATCAATAAAATACAAATCATGTAAATCACATAAACAAAAACAATCAATAATGACATAAACAATTTTAAAAATGGCCGGGCCAAATATAATAGGTTAAAATTAAAAATATGCTGACGTGAACAAGGTAAAATATAACTAGGATAGGATATTTTGGGGAGAAATGAGGGAGCACAGTCCATCCTAAGTCAGTATTAAAGTGCATTGTGAGGACATACTGCTGAGAGTTGTTGTTATTTGTTGTTTATGTTTTGATTTTATTGCTATAATGTGCTGTCTGGGCTTGGCCCCATGTAAGCCGATGGTGGCGGCGTATAAATAAAGATTATTATTATTATTATTATTATTATTATTATTATTATTATTATTATTCTGGGAGCTTCAAAAGTTTGTTTTTCATTGCAGCTCCCAGAATCCCCCAACAAGCATGCTGTCTGGGGGATTCGGGTAGTTTTGGCCCAAATAGTGCTCTTCCAAGCATTGTCCAGATTCAATTCCAGGAATCTCTAGATTGAAAAAAAAAAACCCAGCCTGAATTTCTATATTACTGCTGCCAATGATTGTGGGAAATACAGAGTAAGGCCATTCAAAAAGTCTTCCTGTTTTCCAAACAATCCAACTCTCAAATGGTTTTTTATGTAGTTAGGAAAATAATTGTTAAAAACAACGGAACTTGAGAAAGACATACGCTGAGACTGGGTTGTTGTGAGTTTTCCGGGCTGTATGGATATGTTCCTGAAGCATTCTCTCCTGACGCTTCGCCCACATCTATGGCAGGCATCCTCAGAGGTTGTGAAGTCTATTGGAAACTAAGCAAGTGAGGTTTATATATCTGTGGAATGTCCTCACGCATTTTCCAACAGACCAACCTCTGAGGATACCTGCCACAGATGTGGGTGAAACGTCAGGAGAGAATGTTTCTGGAATATGGCCAGACAGCCCAGAAAACTCACAGCAACCCAGTGATTCCAGCCATGAAAGCCTTCAACAACACAAAATTGAAATCCATGTATTGTCAAAGGCTCTCATGGCCGGAATCACTGGGTTGTTGTAGGTTTTTTCGGGCTATATGGCCATGTTAGAGGCATTCTCTCCTGACGTTTCGCCTGCATCTATGGCAAGCATCCTCAGAGGTAGTGAGGTCTGTTGGAAGGAAAAGGGTTTATATATCTGTGGAATGACCAGGGTGAGACAAAGGACTTTTGTCTGCTGGGGCTAGGTGTGAATGTTTCAGCTGATCACCTTGATTAGCATTCAATGGCTTGAAAGTGCCTGGGGGGAATCTTTTGTTGAGAGTGAATTGATGTGCCTGATTGTTTACTCTCTGTTGTTTTGCTGTTGTAATTTTTGAGTTTTTTAATACTGGTAGCCAGATTTTGTTCATTTTCATGGTTTCTTCCTTTCTGTTGAAATTGTCCACATGCATTCACACCTAGCTCCAACAGACAAGAGTCCTTTGTCCCACCCTGATCATTCCACAGATATATAAACCTATTTTCCTACTTCAAACAGACCTCACTACCTCTGAGGATGCTTGCTATCATGGCCATATAGCTCGGAAAAACCTACAACAACCCAGATTAAATCCAACTTACTAATGCCCTGAAAAATCTCCCCAGCTACTGCAAAGATAACCACCTGAAGCCTAACCCTGCCAAGACACAAGTGTATAAAAATGAAGTTCAACAGGGACAAATGCAAGATACTCCACTTAGGCAGAAAAAAGGAAATGCAAAGATACAGAATGGGGGACAATGCCTGGCTCGAGAGCAGTACATGTGAAAAAGATCTTGGAGTCCTCGTGGACAACACGTAAGACTCTTATCTGCTGGAGCTAGGTGTGAATGTTTCAACTGACCACCTTAATTAACATTTGATGGCTTGGCAGTCCCTGGGGCAATCTGGTGGTCAGTTGAAACACTGCCAAGCCATCAAATGCTAATCAAGGTGGTCAGTTGAAACATTCACAGCTAGCCCCGACAGACAAGAGACCTTTGTCCCACCCTGGTCATTCCACAGATATATAAACCCATTTTCCTACTTCCAACAGACCTCACTACCTCTGAGGATGCTTGCCATAGATGCAGGCGAAACGTCAGGAGAAAATGCCTCTAGAATATGGCCATATAGCCCGAAAAAACCTACAACAACCCAGTGATTCCGGCCATGAAAGCCTTCGACAATAAAATGCTCTTTGATTGTAGGCGAACTATAAATCTCAGCAACTACAACTCCTAAATGACAAAATCATTTTTTTGAGTGAAGGACATACATTGGGTTGTTAGTTTTCTTGTGTCCAAATTGGTGTCAATTCCCCCGGTGGTTTTTGAGTTCTGTTAATCCCACAAATGAACATTACATTTTTATTTATATAGATACTAGCTTTACCCACCACGCGTTGCTGTGGCCAACCTTCTCTCCCTCCTTCCTTCACTCCCTCTTTCCTTCTCTTCTTCCTTCCTTCTCTTTCCTTCCTTCCTCCTTTTTCTTTCTCTTCTGCCATCTCTCTTGTCTTCCTTCTCTCTCTCCTTTTTTCCTTCACTCCCTCTTTTCTTCCTTCTTTCCCTTTTTGCTCTCCTTCCAACCTTCTTTAACTTTCCTTCCCCCTTTTTCTTTCCCTCCCTCTTTCTCTCCTTTCTTCTCTACCTTTTTCTTCCTTCTCCCTTTCCTTCTCCCCTCTCTCTTTCTTCTTTCTTTCTTCCCTCCTTCCTCTTTCTTTCTTCCTTCTTTCTTCCTAACTTTCCTTCCTTCCTCCTTTTTTCTCCCTCCCTTTCTTCCTTTCTTCCTTCTACCTCTTTCCTTCCTTCTCCCTTCCTTCTTCTTTCCCTCCTCTTCCTTCTTTTTTCTTTTTCTTCTTTCTTTCTTTCTTTCTTTCTTCTTTTTTCCCTCTCCTTTTCTTTCTCTCCTTCCTTCTCTTATTCCTTCCTTCCCTTTTCTTTCCCTCCCTTCTCTCCTTTCTCCTTCTCTACCTCTTCCTTCCTTCTCCCTTTCCTTCTTTCTTTCTCTTTCTTCTTTTCTTTCTTTCTTTCTTTCTTTCTTTCTTTCTTTCTTTCTTTTCTTCCCTTCACTTCCTCTTTCTTTTTCTCTCCTTCCTTCCTTCTCTAATTTTCCTTCCTTCCCCCTTTTTCTTTCCCTCCCTTTCTCTCCTTTCTTCCTTTTCTACCTCTTTCCTTCCTTCTCTCTTTTCTCTTCTTTCCTCTCTTTTTTCTTCTTTCTTTCTTTCTTCTTTCTTTCTTTCTTTCTTCCTCTTCCTCTTTCTTTTTCTCTTTCCTTCCTTCTCTTTTTTCCTTCCTTCCCTTTCTTTCTCCTCTTTCTCCTTTTTCTTCTCTACCTCTTTCCTTCCTTTCTTTTTCTTTCTCTTTCTTTCTTTCTTTCTTCCTTTTCTTCTCCTTCCCTCTCTTCCTTTTTCTTTATTGTCATTTAGCTTTTCATTGTTTTTGGGTTTTTAAGTCCCTTCTGCTGTGTTTTTCAGGGTTTTTTTGAGTGAAGGACATACACTGGGTTGTTAGGTGTCTTGTGTCCAAATTTGGTGTCAATTCGTCCAGTAGTTTTTGAGTTCTGTTAATCCCACAAACGAACCTTACATTTTTATTTATATAGTTGCAATGCTTTCGACACAAAGTGAATAAAGCTGAGTTCCGAGTTCCAATCCCGCAGGCAAATTTTCACAAGACTTCATAGCAAGAGGAGGAAACGTAAGGTCCAGAACATACCTGTAGAGGTCCGGTTGTGGCTGTTCACATTCTATGGTGGCGGTAAGGCAATCGATGGCTTGGCATGTATAGAGGTTGGCAGTATCCTGCACAGTGTAGTGGGTCTAGAGAGAAGTTTAAAAAACAGGTCAGTCGGTTTCAGCATAAGCTCAAATCTATTTGTCATAAAGGCATCAAAAGGCAGCAACAGATTAACTTAACTATATGCATTTGAGCGGGGGGATCCACTAGTGCAGTGTTTGTCAACCTGGGAGTCAGGACCCTTGGGGGATCGCGAGGGGGTGTCAGAGGCGTCACCAGTCACCACCAGGAAACAAAATATTTTCTGTTGGTCATGGGGGTTCTATATGGGAAGTTTGGCCCAATTCTATCGTTGGTGGGATTCAGAATGCTCTTTGATTGTAGGTGAACTATAAATCCCGGTGACTACAACTCTCAAATGTCAAGGTCTATTTCCCCCAAACTCCATCTGTGTTCATATTTGGACTTATTGAGTGCTTGTGCCAAGTTTGGTCCATCATTATTTGAGTCCACAGTGCTCTCTGGTTGTAGGTGAACTACAACTCCCAAACTCAAGGTCCATGCCCACCAAACACTTCCAGTATTTTCTGTTGGTCATGGGACTTCTGTGTGCCAAGTTTGGTTCAATTCCATCGTTGATGGAGTTCAGAATGCTCTTTGATTGTAGGTGAACTATAAATCCCAGCAACTACAACTCCCAAATGTCAAGGTCTATTTTGCCTAAACTCCACCAGTATTCAAATATGAGCATATTGCGTATCCGTGCCAAGTTTGGTCCAGATCCATCATTGTTTGAGTCCACAGTGCTCTCTGGATGTATGTAGGTGAACTACAACTCCAAAACTCACGATCAATGCCCACCAAAGCCTTTCAGTATTTTCTGTTGGTCATGGGGGTTCTCCCAAATGTAAAGGTCTATTTTTCCTAAACTCCACCAGTGTTCAAATATGATATCTGGATGTGTGTGTAACCTGATGCTTGTATACTTCTGTACTTGTGCTTGTACATGTGTGTGTACTCTGACACTTGCACACCCTGTCACTCGTACTTTTTTTATGCTGGTCATTGACCGTAATAAATGTTCATATATAAATATGGGCATGTTGCGTATCCGTGCCAAGTTTGGTCCCGATCCATCATTGTTTGAGTCCACAGTGCTCTCTGGATGTATGTAGGTGAACTACAACTCCAAAACTCACGGTCAATGCCCACCAAAGCCTTCCAGTATTTTCTGTTGGTCATGGGGGTTCGATGTGGGAAGTTTGGTTCAATTCCATAGTTGGTGGAGTTCAGAATGCTCTTTGAATGTGGGTGAACTATACATCCCAGCAAATACAACTCCCAAAAGACAAAATCAATTTTTTGAGTGAAGGACATACATTGGGTTGTTAGGTGTCTAGTGTCCAAATTTGGTGTCAATTCGTCCAGTGGTTTTTGAGTTCTGTTAATCCCACAAACAAACATTACATTTTTATTTATATTGATTACAGTTTTATGTAAATATTCAAAAACATTGAACCTACTGATGTCTCAATTAATGTAATTTTATTGATATCTATTTTTATTTTGAAATTTACCAATAGAAGCTACATTTCTCACCCTCGGCTTATACGCGAGTCAATAAGTTTTCCCAGTTTTTTGTGGTAAAATTAGGTGCCTCGGCTTATATTTGGGTCGGCTTATGCTCAAGTATATACGGTAAAACCAAACAATTAAAACATCAATTATTGCACATCAATATATCCTGAAGGTAATTTGATACACAATATTTCACATAGTTTTGGTGCATAACGGCTCTCCATGCAGTCATGCCGGCCACATGACCTTGGAGGTGTCTACGGACAACGCCAGCTCTTTGGCTTGGAAATGGAGATGAGTACCAAACCCCAGAGTGACTAGACTTAATGTCAGGGGACAACCTTGACCTTTACTTGTTGCATGAAACAAAGTTTGTGATCTCATCCAAAAGTAAAAAGACCCACTTTCTCAGCCACCCAGAAAATATAAGAAGACCTATTCATTTGAGAGAATGGGAAATAATTTGGAATAAGAAATTAAAATATACATAGGCAATGGATTTAAAAGAAAATTAGCTTAAGATGTTTCATAGATGGTACGCTACACCCAAAAAATTATGTTTAATGTATAAAATATGGACAAAAAGTGTTGGAAATCTAGTTTGAAGCCATTATTCCACGTCCTATTCTCCAGGGAAGCAGAAAACAAGCTTGCTCCCTCCTCCCTGTGGCTTCCTCTCACATATTTATACATGGCTATCATATCTCCTCTCAGCCTTCTATTCTTCAGGCTAAACATGCCCAGCTCTTTAAGCCGCTCCTCATAGGGCTTGTTCTCCAGACCCTTGATCATTTGAGTCGCCCTCCTCTGGACACATTCCAGCTTGTCAATATCTCTCTTCAATTGTGGTGCCCAGAATTGGACACAATATTCCAGGTGTGGTCTAACCAAAGCGGAATAGAGCATGGGGAGCATGACTTCCCTGGATCTAGACACTAGGCTCCTATTGATGCAGGCCAAAATCCCATTGGCTTTTTTTGCCGCCACATCACATTGTTGGCTCATGTTTAACTTGTTGTCCACGAGGACTCCAAGATCTTTTTCACACGTACTGCTCTCGAGCCAGGCATTGTCCCCCATTCTGTATCTTTGCATTTCGTTTTTCCTGCCTAAGTGGAGTATCTTGCATTTGTCACTGTTGAACTTCATTTTGTTAGTTTTGGCCATTCATCTCTCTAATCTGTTAAGATCTTTTGGCAAGTTATTTTAAATTGCATTTACTCTCATTTTACTGTTTGGTTGTTCGGATTGTGTGTCAACGTCTCTGAAGGCAGTGTGAGTTATAAAAGAGAACAATGTGTTTCAGGTTTTTATTTTATAGTCAAGATAAGCATGCTAGTTTTTTTTAAAAAAAATCAGGAAGTCCTGATTTTTATAGCCCAATCCTTGAGCAAAACAAAACATATAATTTCTCCTTTTATGGTTACACATTGGCGTCCGACCGATAAGAATCTCGTTCTTTTTAAGATCTAGTCAGAGAGTGCTGTGGTTTTTAACTTTGTATAAGTTTTAATGGATTTTAACCGTGATTTCTTTTATTACTGTTTATATTTAATTCTGTTTTTTGTAAAGTAAAGGTGTTGTAGTAGAGTCTGTTGGAAATGCTACTAATGCTAGTATGGGTGGCAAAATAAGGAAAAGGTGTGCTCAGGAGTTAGATGAGGAACAACAAAGGAAGAGAATTCGGGAAATACTCGTGTCACCCACTGATGAACAGTCCTTCGAAGGGTTTTCTGAAAGCGAGATGAGTGAGGAGGAGGAAGGACATACAGTGGGTGTAAACAGGGGAACTAAGAGGTCTACTCGGGAGTCGGGGTCCGATGAGGAGTATCAAAGGAAGAAGATCCAGAACATTGAATCATAGAATCATAGAATCAAAGAGTTGGAAGAGACCTCATGGGCCATCCAGTCCAACCAGTCTGCCAAGAAGCAGGAATATTGCATTCAAAGCACCCCCGACAGATGGTCATCCAGCCTCTGTTTAAAAGCATCCAAAGAAGGAGCCTCCACCACACTCCGGGGCAGAGAGTTCCACTGCTGAATGGCTCTCACAGTCAGGAAGTTCTTCCTTATGTTCAGATGGAATCTTCCCTCTTGTAGTTTGAAGCCATTGTTTCATATCCTAGTCTCCAAGGCATCAGAAAACAAGCTTGCTCCCTCCTCCCTGTGGCTTCTTCTCACATATTTATACATAGCTATCATCTCTCAGCCTTCTCTTCTTCAGGCTAAACATGTTCAGCTCCTTAAGCCGCTCCTCATAGGGCTTGTTCTCCAGACCCCGAATGGCCCGCTGGGATGTTGTAGAAGCTCCTTTTTTTTACTATTCTCTGACACAAGAGGTATTCCAACTGTGGGAGACCTTTGAGCTCTACCCCAAGTTGTGAAATTTAGGGCCTTTTTTTCTCTTTCAAACACCGTTTATCATCTCCTGATGTTGATGCAATGGAGCTGTTTCTCGTCTAGCTCCAAACGAGGAAAAATTCGAGATAATGAGCCCAGGAAGCATCCGGGCGAGTTATGTTTATGAAGATGGATTACAGCCATGGATCTTGCCGGCAGGAGTGATTTACAGCTGTGGAATCGGTTTCTAGAAATAGAACCCCTTTAGAAAAAAAATGTAGGTGCTTCTTGGGCATTCTCCTTTAATTAAGAGACAGATCTAATCTCTGTGCTCTAAGAATAGGTTCTTCTCTATCTCAGACACTTGCCTCTATTTAAAGATGCTTTGATGGATCTCCCGTTGAAACATCTGCACCATGTCTCGAAATGTGTAAAAGTCCAAAAATTATTCCTTTCCAACAGATTTGTGTGGATAAAAACTCTTTAAAGTTGCTCTGTGACTTGAAAAGTATGAAAAGCAACGTTGATAATAATAATAATAATAACAACAACAACAATAATAACAGTAATTCAGGGCACCACATTTGAAGAGAGATATTGACAAGCTGGAATCTGTCTAGAGGAGGGCGACTAAAATGATCAAGGGTCTGGAGAACAAGACCTATGAGGAGCGGCTTAAGGAGCTGGGCATGTTTAGCCTGAAGAAGAGAAGGCTGAGAGGAGACATGATAGCCATGTATAAATATGTGAGAGGAAGTCACAGGGAGGAGGGAGCAAGCTTGTTTTCTGCTTCCTTGGAGACTAGGACGCGGAACAATGGCTTCAAACTACAAGAGAGGAGATTCCATCTGAACATGAGGAAGAACTTCCTGTGAGAGCCGTTCAGCAGTGGAACTCTCTGCCCCGGAGTGTGGTGGAGGCTCCTTCTTTGGAAGCTTTTAAACAGGGGCTGGATGGCCATCTGTCAGGGGTGATTTGAATGCAATATTCCTGCTTCTTGGCAGAATGGGGTTGGACTGGATGGCCCATGAGGTCTCTTCCAACTCTGATTCTATGACTCTATATGTGTGATTCACAGTTGACTACGACAGGGAAAGCCTTTTACTGATTCATGGGAAAGAGTTGCCTCATTTGGGTCAACGTTGTAATTTCATGCTGGTCTTGCTTTCGTATGTTCTTAGTTTCATGTACCAAGTTTTTGCCAAGATCCCGATTTGTGTATTGGATTTTTCATGCAGCCTTGTTTCATGGATTCTTGTGCCTGTTTCAAGGATTTTTATACCTTTGGATCTTGTTTTGCCTTGACGTTCATGGACTATGTTTTGGAACTGCTATTGCAATGTAAATAGATAGAAAGGAAGGTAATGACAGAGATAGTGCATGCAGTTCTGGAGGAATTCTAATTTTTGCTTCTCGTATATTTGACATGGGGATTGGGTTAACCAGTTAAAATTCATGAGTCAACCAGTTTTTTTTTTACCTGAAACATTTCAGGGGTGGTTTGAACCCCTAAACTGCTCCCTTGGCTATAGGCTTTTATGGAACAATCAGTGAAAGGTTGTTTTCTTTCTCCTACCCAAATTTTGAGCACACAAAATTAGCAACCTGGGCTTTGGGATATAAAAAAGGACATATGGGAGTATGCAGATGCAGCCATGCATAAGAGCAAGGTAAAACTATACCTCCCAGGCAGCAATTCGCCACCTCGGTGAGACCTCGGTCCCAGTAACTGAAACCTCAGAAAGAGAGAAAGAGCTTCAGGGTCAGGCCAAGCTGTTTGCCCATTCTGTTACCTTGACATTGGATTCCCCATCAAGGCTCGCCGTAGTGACATGACAAGACCCGTCCTTGGTATTCGATGCGAGGAATATCAGGTCGCAGGGAAAGGTTTCATCTGATGACACTTCGACGATGTCGCCAACCTTAAAATCAAAACAGGTAGGTTTTATTGCACCGCAAGAAAAGATGTGCCTTCACATAGCTGTGACAGAGGAATATATGTTCAACCGTATGGGAGGGATGTGTCATTCGGTCTCAAGCTTTTTTCCTCCTTGGGTGCCCAATTTTCCAATTCAAGGGTCCATTTGTAATGCTACCCACTCCGCCTTCTGGTTTTGGTTACATGTCACCAGATTCCACATCCAAGCCCTTTCCTGTTTCCCACTAACTCCTAGGAAGCCATTCCCCGCTTCCCTTGCTTCACCTTGATTCTCTTTGAAAGGCAGCAGATCACAGGAGCTGTCTCCACAGACCTGTCAGCGGCTTATGATACTGTAAACCACCGCCTCCTCCTGAGAAAAATGTATAATATCACAAAGGACTACCACCTCACCCGCCTCATAGGAAACCTGCTACAAAACAGGAGCTTTTTTGTTGAGTTCCAGGGCCAGAGAAGCAGATGGCGGAAACAGAAGAACGGCCTGCCTCCGGGGAGCGTGCTTGCTCCATCCATGTTCAACATCTACACAAATGACCAGCCACTGCCAGAAGGGACAGAGAGTTTCATCTATGCTGATGATTGTGCCATTACCGCTCAAGCAGGGAGCTTTGAGATGGTTGAACAGAAACTCTCCGAAGCTCTAGGTGCTCTTACTGCCTATTACAGGGAAAACCAACTGATCCCTAATCCATCTAAAACACAGACATGTGCTTTCACCTTAAGAACAGACAAGCATCCCGAGCTCTGAGGATTACCTGGGAAGGAATCCCACTGGAGCATTGCAGCGCACCCAAATACCTGGGAGTCACTCTGGACCATGCTCTGACCTACAAGAAGCACTGCCTGAACATCAAGCAAAAAGTGGGTGCTAGAAACAATATCATACGAAAGTTGACTGGCACAACCTGGGGATCACCACCAGATACAGTGAAGACATCTGCCCTTGCGCTATGCTACTCTGCTGCTGAGTATGCATGCCCAATGTGGAACACATCTCACCACGCTAAAACAGTTGCAGCTCTTAATGAGACATGCCGCATTATCACGGGGTGTCTGCGCCCTACACCACTGGAGAAATTACACTGTCTAGCCGGTATTGCACCACCTGACATCCGCCGGGAAGTAGCAGCCAATAGTGAAAGGACCAAGGCAGTGACATCTCCAGCTCATCCCTGTTTGGGTATCAGCCAGCACGTCAACGACTTAAATCAAGAAATAGTTTTCTAAGATCTACAGAGGCACTCACTGGAACACCTCAGCAAGCGAGAGTCCAAAAGTGGCAGGCTCAAACCCAGAACCTCAATCAATGGCTGATACCAAATGAGAGACTCCCCCTGGGCACACAGAAAACTGGGCGACTTGGAAGGCGCTGAACAGACTGCGCTCTGGCACCACGAGATGCAGAGCCAACCTTAAGAAATGGGGCTACAAAGTGGAATCCACGACATGCGAGTGTGGAGAAGAGCAAAGCACTGACCACCTGCTGCAATGCAACCTGAGCCCTGCCACATGCACAATGGAGGACCTTCTTGCGGCAACACCAGAGGCACTCCAAGTGACCAGATGCTAGTCAAAGGGCATTTAATCAACTACCAAGCTTGCAAACTTTGTGTTTTGGTTGTCTATTTGTTTAAAAATGCAATGCAAATGTCTGGTCTGCCCCTGACACGATAAATAAATAAATACCTTGATTTTCTCACATTCTTTCTTCACACGCTTTGCGTCTTCAATGACAAAGACGTTGCTCTTGTTCACTTCCTTGTCGGCTCTGTGCCGGAGCCAGTCCTCATAACCCTAAAGAGAAAGAGGAGCTCAACACAAAAAGCTAACAGAAAAAGTAACTGAAGTCAAAGTAAGGACAGGGTGATTTGTTCCTCTACATTTAGAAGAAGTTAGTTGTATTATTTTTTCTTGTTTGATGGGAGGAAAATACCTGCTTAATAGCTGTAACAGTAATGACAAAGAAAAGCGGAAGCCCACTCGTGACAGGGCTGGTCGGTGTGTCCACTATGACCTAGAAGAAAGAAAGAAAAAATGCTTATTATTTAACATTTTGAAAGGTAAATAGTCACAAATACCAGATGCAATGCAGTTCACTTTGCAAAGAGATGTCACCAATGGCTGGAAGAAAGGAGAGAAAGGGGAAGGGAAAAAAGAGGGGAAGGAATAGGTAGGTACCTCTCTTTCATAATAGTCCAGATATCTACCTCTACTTCGAAAATTCTTACTATAGGCCACAGCAACGCGTGGCTGGGCACAGCTAGTATAGCAACCCCCCTGCGGGTCGCGACCCCCAGGTTGAGAACTGCTGCACTATATTGTATTATAGTGGCAGTGTAGATCCAGCCAATGACTGCTTAAACATTATTTTCCAATACAAGTCCAGCGTCAGATGATGGGATTTGTAGTACTTTCAAACTCTTCGGGTCCCACAGACCACTGTGGCCCCCAACGAAGACCAATAAAGACCAAACTTGGCACACAGAGTCTCCATGACCCACTCTACATCCTACTGCAGTTTGGAGGAGGGGCGGATCACGGATGATAGAACTTGAAATATCTCCTCTCACTTCCCAAGACCACTGCGACCCTCATCCAATGACTGATCAAGACCAAACTTGGCACACTGAGCCCCCATGAGCCACTCTACATCCTGGTGCAGTTTGGAGGACAGATCACGGATGATGGGACTTGAAGTACCTTCACTCACTTCCCGAGACCGCTGCGACCCTCATCCAATGACTGATCAACACCAAACTTGGCACACAGAGCCCCCATGACCCACTCTACATCCTGGTGCAGTTTGGAGGACAGAGCACGGATGATGGGGCTTGAAGTACCTTTACTCACTTCTCGAGACTGCTGCGAACCTCATCCAATGACTGATCAACACCAAACTTGGCACACAGAGCCCCCATGAGCCACTTTACATCCTGGTACTGTTTGGAGGAGGATGAACCATGGGCGATAGGATTTGCAGTACCTTCACTAACTTCCTGAGACCACTGTGAGCCACATAAATAACTGATAAAGACCAAACTTGGCACACAATGCCTTTCTCAGCGCCGCACCCCCAAGCTAGTATGGTAATAAAATCATATCATTAGCATATAACAAGATGTTAAAGTATGTTTTAAGTGCATTAGGGATATATAACTCTGGGTCCTTCAACTGTTCAGGTAGATGATTTACATATAAGCTAAATAACAATGGTGCTAATATATACCCTTGTCTGACCCCTTTATATGTTTCTACACCATTTGACACAGCTCCTTGCATCCTAAATTACATGTGTTCAATGTCAAAGAAGCCTTGTTCTAGTGGCAAAGAGTTATTCAAACCATTACAGAAACTGTCTCTATATTTTTCACTATTGCTGTTTGGCAATCTCAAGAATCAAGCAGATGTTGGCTGGGATTCTCAAGAGTTGAGCAACTGTTGGCTTGGGATCCCTTTAAGCAGATGTTCTAAGATGTTTGCCCATAGGACATAACTATTTCAGAGGATGAAGCTTCTCTGGACCAACTCCAGTTTTGAAAGGATGTAGGGTGGAGGGAGAAATAACACTTCGTGCAAGTTTCTAGGAACAACTTCCACCAAAATTTGATGGCATATTTAGATAATATGGTCTCATGAAGACCCAAAAGATATACAAACATGAGAGAGGCAGCTGTGTTGCTGCATGAAATAAGACATGGTTTTAAAAGGTCCTACACATTAACCCTAGCATCCTGTTGGTGACATAAGTTCATGGAAGTTCCTGTGAACATGGGGAACTGGATGTTTCTCTTGTAGCATGGCAAGGGACAGATTCTGATGAGGAATCATCTTCATTAATGACTTAGATGAAGGGTTAGAAGGCATGATAGTCAAGTTTGCAGACGACACCAAATTGGGAGGGAGAGCCAATACTCCAGAGGACAGGAGCAGGATTCAAAATGATCTTGACAGATTAGAGAAATGATTGGCCAAAACTAACAAAATGAAGTTCAACAGGGACAAATGCAAGATACTCCACTTAGGCAGAAAAAATGAAATGCAAAGATACAGAATGGGGGACAATGCCTGGCTCGAGAGCAGTACGTGTGAAAAAGATCTTGGAGTCCTCGTGGACAACAAGTTAAGCATGAGCCAACAATGTGATGTGGCGGCAAAAAAAGCCAATGGGATTTTGGCCTGCATCAATAGGAGCATAGTGTCTAGGTCCAGGGAAGTCATGCTCCCCATGCTCTATTCTGCTTTGGTTAGACCACACCTGGAATATTGTGTCCAATTCTGGGCACAACAATTGAAGAGAGATATTGACAAGCTGGAATGTGTCCAGAGGAGGGCGACTAAAATGATCAAGGGTCTGGAGAACAAGCCCTATGAGGAGCGGCTTAAGGAGCTGGGCATGTTTAGCCTGAAGAAGAGAAGGCTGAGAGGAGACATGATAGCCATGTCTAAATATGTGAGAGGAAGCCACAGGGAGGAGGGAGCAAGCTTGTTTTCTGCTTCCCTGGAAACTAGGACAAGGAACAATGGCTTCAAACTGCAAGAGAGGAGATTCCATCTGAACATGAGGAAGAACTTCCTGACTGTGAGAGCCGTTCAGCAGTGGAACATAGATTCTATGATTCTATGAATGCAGTTTGACATCACTTGCCATGATTCAATGCTATGGAATCATGGAATTGTAGTTTTACAAGGCCTTTCACCTTCTCAACCAATGGAACAATGGCTTCAAACTACAAGAGAGGAGATTCCATCTGAACATGAGGAAGAACTTCCTGACTGTGAGAGCCGTTCAGCAGTGGAACTCTCTGCCACAGAGTGTGGTGGAGGCTCCTTCTTTGGAAGCTTTTAAACAGAGGCTGGATGGCCATCTGTCAGGGGTGATTTGAATGCAATATTCCTGCTTTTTGGCAGAATGGGGTTGGACTGGATGGCCCATGAGGTCTCTTTTTCAATCCTGGCCTTAATTGTATTGGTTCTGATGGCTTGCTCCTGGGCTGCAAGAATCAGGCCTTCTGTCTCCTTCTTCAGGGTATTATTATTATTATTATTATTATTATTATTATTATTACACATTTGTTTGAAAAGCTGAAATCCTGCAGCTTGCAATTTGGAAAAGAATTTGATATCCTTCTTATTGACGTCAAACAGCTCTGCTCACTCAGGTGAACCTTTTTGGACCAGGACTCATTTCATAGAATCATAGAATCAAAGAGTTGGAAGAGACCTCATGGGCCATCCAGTCCAACCCCCTGCCAAGAAGCAGGAATATTGCATTCAAATCACCCCTGACAGATGGCCATCCAGCCTCTGTTTAAAAGCTTCCAAAGAAGGAGCCTCCACCACACTCCGGGGCAGAGAGTTCCACTGCTGAACGGCTCTCACAGTCAGGAAGTTCTTCCTCATGTTCAGATGGAATCTCATCTCTTGTAGTTTGAAGCCATTGTTCCGCGTCCTAGTCTCCATGATCTCCTAGTTGACCATGTTTCTGCAATGGCATTGGATTTTTTTAATTATTATTTTCAAGTGCACTCTCTTATGTAGGTGAAGGGAAACAACTTGGCCTGTTCTTGGAAAGTTTCCTTGTGCCCATCGGAGCGTGAGGAATCCATGACTGCCGGCTTCCATGACAACCGCAACATGCTTTGCTAGATCCGTGTGTTGGAGATGAGGCAATAATGCTCTCCACAGAAACACACTCCAGCTAATTAAAATAATGCAAAGGCAGCATCATTACTTAGACTAGATTCCTTTGAGAGATTTCTAATCCTGCGCTGGGCAATCGGGGCTGGCTGCATCTCAATATTATTAATAACCCGACTTCATGGAAAGATAATGGGCCGCTGCTTCTTAATGTGGTACGGAAGAACAAAAACAACAGGAACCTCCAAGTTGCCTTTTGGGCCTTCAGTTGGAACAGGTTGAAAGGAAGGCTATATTTAACTTGAAAGGAATCGAAATATCACCACTAGCCATGGATGCGGCGTTACCAATCCCATTGTTTTGCACTGGGATGGTGAAGAGTGTGGAGATATGTCTCCATGACATATTTCAAGACAGATCCCAAGAAATGAGTCATAAAGACATATATCCACCTGCTATGTATAATAATAATAATAGTAATAAAAATATATACATATTTAATAATATATATATATATATATATATATAATATTTATAATATTATAATATAATACAATATAATACTAGTAATAATAATTCAATATTATAATTATAATTATATATTTACATTACATGTAATATTACTAATAATATTACAATATAATGGTATAGTGCAATCTATATATATAAATTTGTTAGGGGCATCCAACGGAGAAACAAAACTCAAAAACCCCCCAACGAAACTTAACCAAAATTCCCATGCCCATAACACAACCCACAAGGTACAAACATATCTACTCAAAATGAAAAACAACACAACAACACACTCACAAAACGGCAAAACAACAAAACTCAAAAATCCCACGAAACTTAACCAAAATTCCCATGCCCATAACACAACCCACAAGGTACAAACATATCTACTCAAAATGAAAAACAACACAACAACACACTCACAAAACGGCAAAAGAACAAAACTAAAAAAAAACCAACAAAACTTAACCAAAATTCCCATGCCCATAACACAACCCACAAGGTACAAACATATCTACTCAAAATGAAAAAACAACACAACACACTCACAAAACGGCAAAACAACAAAACTCAAAAATCCCCCAACGAAACTTAACCAAAATTCCCATGCCCATAACACAACCCACAAGGTACAAACATATCTACTCAAAATGAAAAACAACACAACAACACACTCACAAAACGGCAAAACAACTGAGCATGCGCATTGGCGCCCAGCCGCAAGTTCCCTGGCGCGCGCACATGCCCTTCCGGCCAACGTTCCCTCTGCGGAAACCATGCCCACTCCAAGCCCCGCCGCGCCGCTTCCCGCACACACACACACCCCTGCCGCACACACACACACAACCCCACACTCCATCACTC